TTGTATCTCTTAACTAATGCGCATCATATGCTTAATAAAAACATTTAAAAGAAAAAAATAAATAAATTGACAAGAAAAAAACAAAAAATAGAGAAGAGAAGAGAGAAAGAAAATTATTATTAAATGATAAAAATACTTTAAAAAAAAAAGAAAAAAGTATATATATATATATAAGAAAAAAGAAAATAAAAAATTATTTACAGTAGTGGTCTAGACTTTTACGGGAAAGGAAAATGTGTCCATTTTATACCATTTCTAATGCGTTTCTATTTGCGATAGTCCATAGAAATAGCTTGAATAATATTTATCAGTAATTGATTATATTGCCTGTTAGATTGGAAAAAAGAGGCTGGAATGAAAAAGCAGCGCCAGCAACGAATGAGAGGGAACGAGAGTGAGACTTATTGTTAAATGGATTGTGTTTTAAGTATGGAAGTATGCAGATAAGGAAATAAAATGCGAAGATTCTCATTCTATTCCAAAACAATTACGATTTCATACCCTTTATTTTGGTATAATTTTGACGCATTATATTAATTATATGACTGCATGATAATTTATATTTTTAAAAAATGAAAGAAAGGAAAAGAAATTAAAAATTTATTAAATTAGAACGTAAAACTGAACTGATACTCACGACATTATATACGTAAAACGAACGTTTTCTCAAAAGAAAATTTGATTATTTAACAAAATTACTAAATTTATAATTTTTCTTTTTTCTTTTTAATGTTATTTTTTACACCAGCTGTTTGACATACAGGGTTTAGATAAAATCCGTATTGAAATGATAATGAATAGATCATAATTATATTGGCTTCAAGTTTTCGTAGTGAAAAACCGTCTGTACGGAAGATCACACGGCAGCCGGAAGAAAGGGACCAGATACAAAGTTTTTTACCAGCAAATATTTCAAAAATCTTTATTTTGAATTATATCCTATAGAGAGTAAAGTGTTGTCCTTTATATATATCGTTCGAATATAATTACAATTTAAAAAGCAGTATATTCATATATATATATATAATATTTATCTCCTAATAATTTTGGTTGTATCCATTCTACATTCAAATAGCTTCTATATATACTTATTTTAATTATATAATAATATTAGAAAAAGATATATATAAACGCATGCTTTAAGCTGCAATGATAATTGTAATTTTTTATTTTTTAAATTTTTTGTTATGATAAACATTATAGTAAACACAACGTGAATTAATACACAAACTAATGTATGCAGTTAAAAACCCTTATCCGGCCACCGTATATTTAATTTCTTTGCACTCTGATTAAATTTATTTAAAAAATATAATTTTACAATTGATAAAAAATATTAAAGAAAAAATTAAATCTTTTTAAATTATAATGTATCACATTAACTAATATATTTGTATCAACATTGATAAAATAGAAAAGCGCAAGAAAAGTAATACATAGACAATATAGTAGATTATTTAAAAATTGTATAATTGTGTGAAGTGATTAAGAATTTTATAAATTTATGAAACATATAAGAAGCACATTTTTCGTGAGTATATACGGCATGATTTAAGAATTACAGAGAATATGCTAGGCAAATAAAAGTAAATATAATCGAATGCCTAGCTATCCATTATTTTGAAACAAATGATGGTCAATGCATACTTTTCCTTGTACGGGTAAGTTAAGTGAAAACAAATTGCACATATTATATGAGTGTTTGTAATTCTGAATGATTCAATAACGTGCGCTTGTGATATTTCCCTTATAATAATATTAAACTAAACTTTGTAACATTTGTAAAAAAAAAAGAAGACAAAAAGAAAACAAAAACGAAAGAGCTGAAGTTTTGTGAATATAGAAAAAATATAATACTGGATTATTATACGAATTACTAAACAATTCAATTTAAGTTAAACATGTAAAGAAATGACATGCCATTTTAATATTTGACTGTAATTATGAATTAATGATAATAGAAAAATTTACCAAATTATTTTATTAAACAATTACGAACGAGAATTAAATATGACAATAAACTAAGGAAACAACTGAAACATAAATTCTTAAATAATAATTATTAAAAATAATAATGATGAAGATATGTCGTAATTGTTAAATTGTATTTATATTGGATTCTGTTTCACTGAAAATACTTTCGTCTACTTTTTTCACATATAAGTTATCTTATTTAATTTATAATGATTTTCAATGATTATTAATGTACATTTTTATTGAATGATTACTTTGTATTTTTCTCTATGTAAGCAAGCATAATAACAGTAGTAATAATAATGATTATTATAATAATTTTGTTTTATATCAGCTTTCATTAAAAAAATATCTATACATTTACCATGTTTCGACTCTTATACTAACTGATCAAAGTTAACTCTTCATAGTCGCAATACTTTTTAGCATGAATAATCTATTAACTAATATTATTTTCCCTCGCAATACAGGGAGACGTAGGCTCAAACAAACGTTACTTTATGAAATTCATCAAATTAATTTTTATTTGTAGTATTCTACAATGTTTTTTGGTATGATCTTTTTCACAACACTCACTGACATTAATTACTTGTTTTTAAATATTAGTATATAAATGCGTATCAAAATAACTTGATTCTCACTTTTGATTTATTGCTTTATTAGAAAACATTTTAAGCATTTCTTACCTCGATCTTCACATTCCACAGTAATATATAAAGTTAACCATTTAATCATTTTTTATTCCTATTTGATAGCCCATAGCGTGATTTAGATAAATCACAAAATTTTCTCACTGTCTGATCTACTAATAGATATATAAATTCTTGATGTGTTACGAGAGCTTTATTTTCTTTTACTAAGAAATGAATTTCTATAAAATATATAACTTTTCAAACATTTATATCATCTGTTATAACTTCACACATATGTTGGAATTATTTTTAGCTGCACATACACACACACAAAACTAAAGTATGCTCAATTAATTTTTACCTGAAAATCCTAATGCTATGCCAACATTCAACCATAACAGTAAAAGTGCCTAACTAAGGTAATCCCGGGTTTAGACCACAAAGTGCTTTTTTTTTAATAATCTTTTTACATACAATATCTTCATAATTATTAAAAAAAAAACACATGAATATTTAAATAATTAAACGATTATTGATAATACTTTGAAATCAAATATTTCGTAAATTGATATTTTTCGATTCAATTTTCGCGCGCTATACAACGTCAGTCACATATGACTGTGACACAACTTTACGAAAATTCTTTCATGAAAAATTTATTTTTCATTACATTTATCTTTATATTTATCACTTTTCAGTAATTAAGAAATATAAATATAAAGAGATAATAAAGAAAAAAATATATAATAGAATGAACTCTTGTACATTTTTAATGCAGTATAATTAATGATAAACGTGAATCAAAAGTAAGGTTAGTAAAAGAAAACATCGTATACTATCATATTATGTACATATATACAAAAATAAATGATTTTATTTTTAAATACAATTATTATTGAATAAATATACTTATATGTATACATGAATTGTAATAAAAAATAATATTCGAGCATGCATTTATACTTACAATTATGTATTGGTGAAAAAATACATTAAAATTACTTTTTTTAGGTCATCACGAAAAAGGATAAAAAATTCAAATTGTAAATAGAAAATGTATATAATATGTTGATGCATGTAAAAGTAACATAATTTAAAAAGAAATAAAAATGGCAGAAATAATCGTATTAAGCGATTCAAACGAATCCGAATTGTCGATAAATCATCCGATTAATACTAAAAAAGGAAATTGTCAAAAAGATTCTGCATCTGACGATGATTTTGATTTTCCTGAAGTTCAGTTTGATTATTTCATGGATACAAATAATATTACTAATAAAAACAAATCATGTCAAAGAGAGTGCATTATAAGCAGTAATTCTAAATCGTTAAATGTTATTTCAAATGCTGAAACTAATAATAAAGTATTTACAAATACACCACCACTTTCTAAAAAGAGATCGTTTACTCATGATATGTCTGATTCTTTAGAATCCGACTGCTATGAAGAAAATATTTGCATGAATCAACAATTGATTAAGGAACCAATTAAGAAAAGTAAAAGTAAATTGAAAGAAGAACGCCTTAAGAAACAGGAGACCTTGGCAAAAGAAAAAAAGTTAAAAGCGTTAACAACTAAAAAATTAAAAAATATTAAACCAGGTGAATGTATGAAATTTATCAAAGTTATTTTGGACAAACATATAGAAGAATATAAATTTTATCCAGAAACTTTGGTAACATTAAATGATGCGAATATATCATATAGTTTCATTTCGCATTCAATTTCTAATAGTATAACTTGGGAAAGAAGTATAGAAGAAGATAGCATTAATGAAAATAATCAAATATGTACAAAAACTATGAAGCAAATTGAAAAGTATATAATAGTTATTTGGAATTGGAAGGAAGTAGTAGACAAATTAATAGATGATAGTTTCAATAGTAGTCTTTCTTACATAAGGACTTTATTGCCAGATTACAATATGACCTTAGTTATTTTTGGAATTAAAGCATACTTTCTATATCATAAGAATAAAATAAAATTAAAAAAGTGTTCAAGAAGCAAGTCAAATAATAAAACTAAAGACTTTATAGCATATAGAGAATCACCAGAAATTTCAAAACAACAACTAGAAGTATGCCTTGCTGAAAATCAAATAATGAATAAATGTAATAATAGGCTCATCGAAAATGCAGCAGATTTAGCATTAATGATTTATCAATATACAAAAGCTATTGCAGAAAAACCATATAAACTAGAAAAAAGACAACAATCTGATAAAGAATATAATTGGTACATAGCGGGAGATAATAGAGATACGGTACGCGTAGATAAAGATGGAAATGGATTGAAGAGATTATGGCAACAACAACTTTGCCAATTTAATTTAAGTAGCTTGGAAATTTCAGAAGCGATTTGTTCTGTATATAAAAGTCCAATACAATTAGTTGAGGTATGATTATTTTAGTACGTGTACTTGACAAATGTTAAAAATTATTTTTTTCCTATAAAACAAACCATAGTATGAACAAATTTTATTCTACATTCTCTATTTAGTTTTTCATGTGAAATCACCTCTACTTGCTTATACTGTCAGTTACAAAACACTCTGTGTAATAGATATATTTAATTATATTTGTAATATATTTCAATAATATATTTCAGGCTTATAAGAATTGTACATCCGCAGAAGGTAGCAAATTATTAAAAGATCTTCCTGTAAGTAATAACAAATTTTAATTAGAATAAAAAAAAATGTAGAATATTTTTAAATCATAGTATATTATATTATAATCTTTATTATATGTGTGTGTGTGAATTTAGATTAGAAGAGCAGCAGGACCTCTTACAACAGCCAGACGAGTTGGTCCTGAATTAAGTAAAAAAGTTCATATCATGTTTACTTGTGAAAATGGTGATGTTTTGCTTGGTAATGATGTCTAAAGATATATTTTTCAATTGCATTGTCATTTACTATACAAAAATGATAGTCGAATATCGACGAATGTTTATTATATTACAAGATTTTAAATTCATGTATCATCCAGTGCTTTATGTAAATTTTTAATGTATGACTATATCAATATTTTTATGAGTTCATATTGTATATATATTTTTATTAATAACTTTTACAACACTTAATCTGTTTTACACAAAATAATTTATTGAATATTGTTATATTTAAATAAAACAAGTCATATAAAACACATACACCTACATATTATTAAATATGCTACATATATGAAAACGATGAAAATATTATAATGAACAGATCTTTAATTTAAATTATTTTATATCGAATATTAAAAAACCAAAACAAGAATGTAATGATATACAAGAACGTATAGCAGTTTGTATGTTATATCTGATACAATTTTTGGTATAAATGTGTACAATATGTTAAGTTGTATATAAATACAATAATACATTATATAAACATCACAAGAAACAACTTTGCATAACTATAATTATAATAAGACTAGATAAAATGATGGTTCATAGTAACTTTGAAATAATTTGTAATTGCATTGTAAAAATTTGGTGAATCAAGGTGAACTAAACATAAATGTTGGATGAAATGAAAAAGCACATAAAAGGCGGTAAAAAATTATTTTTATAAATTAATAACTAATTGTGCATTTTAGTATGGAATTTCTAAGAAAATATTTTCGTGCTTTAAATATTAGCAGCGGAAATAATATATTTATTTTTTAGTGAACTCTCTCTGATTGTTTGCGAACAATTTTACTTTGTAAAAAAGAATACGGTAACAATTGATAATCAAACAGATAATAATCTAATGTAAATAGAAATAATTCAATTAAATTATTTATAATGAGAATCTTGCAGTTGTTTTAGCATTCTGTTGTTTTTTTTTTAACATAAATTTTTTATTTTTTTTTTTTTTTTTTTTTTTGAAAAATATGTAAAATATATGTATAACTAAATATTTGTTCAATATAATTACACATAGAACATTAATATTTTTACTTGAAACAATAAGATATATCACATTTTTTTAATGTAACTAGCATAAAAATAATATCGCAAAATTTGCTATAATGTATGTTTTAGTTCGTTTACTGTACATATATACAAGTAAAAAATGAATACGTTTTTTAATATATGATCATAATTAATTAACTTATATGTATATATATTCTTATTTATTTATTTAGTCTCTCTTAAATATGTATATTTTATTAGCGCTTTTCTGAGGCAGGCATTTGTTTTATTAACATGCTTTAAAGTCAGCAATAATTTTCTTAAAGTATTGTAATTAACAATGAGAAGACATAGTAAGGTACCTTATGTTTCCAGTCCTGTAGTATTATTAAATGTAACACGTTCAGTATGTTCTTTATTTTCAAATTGGACTTTACGTTCATTTGAAGTTTCTCTTTCATTACATTTAGTCGGAGATGTGAGATCAATTTCAGGTATTGTAATATATTTCCTCTCTATAACATTTGTTTTTATTGCATCCTCAATTTCGATTGTATCATTAGAACTATTTTCTTGATATTTTAGTTGAGGCGGAGCACGTTTATAATCATTTTTTTCAAAAATACATATTTTTGGTTTATTTAATCTCTGAGAAGTACTTGACAATAGAACTTGTTCATTTTTATCGGTTTGAGAAGACTGTGCATTATTTCTTTTAGCTAAAATAATTTTAGTGTACTTAATAGTAGGTTGATTCGAACGATTTTGTGCAGGTAATCCAAGTCTATTTTTTGTCTTTATTACTGAACTTTGCGATTGAGTTTGCAGTATTACGTGGTTCATATTTTGCGCAGGAACATTAGGACATATAATTGTTTGTGTCTTAGGAGTTACAAATTTATTGGAAGTGTGTTGAAGTTTGTCGTGCTTGTTACTTATAAGAACCACTTTTGTAGTATTAAATTTTGGTATATATTTTTCCTTAGAATCTGCTGCTTGAGATGCGTACGATGTCAATGATACTTTCTCAACATTATTTAAACTATCATCATCCTTAGCGAATATTATTGGTATGTCTAATATATTGCCCAAATCTTCATCTATATTGTTAACGATATTTTTCTTTAATGCTGTTTGCGATCTTCCTCCTCTTTGGATTCTTTGTAAGTTATTTGTATTTAGTGTTATTTTTGGCATTGTTTTTGTATTATGAGACAATTTCACTTGGTTAGACATAGCTACATTATTTCCAGTTTTATGAAAACCGAATGGAGCTATTACAGATGAAGGGGTGTTTCTGATATTTTGGGCATTTTCATTAATCGCAGCAGCATTTCCAGTTAATGTACTTATAAAATCTTTGCTTGTAGAAACTGAAACCGTTTGTGATGATAATTGTGAGATTTTAGGTATGTCCCATGTATGAGTAGGATTAAAAGCCACTTCTTGAGAACTATTAGACGGTTCTCTATTTTCCACCGCTATAAAAACAAATTATAATCACATATATTTTATATTATACATGAATACATTCAATTAAGTGATTTCGTTATCAAAAAAACTAAGAGGATTTAACTTTTTTAGACACGACCGTTACGCGGGGTGTATTTTAAATATAAAAATAAAATTGGAAATTATATATATATATGTAGCTTTGCTTAAATTTTATACTGTTAACATATTAGAATTAATTTTATTCATATAAAATGAATAAATCAACATAAATATATATATATAATAACAATGAGTATCTATACTTATAATGACCTATTCTATTTTGGTAATAAATAAATCTAATGATATGCAATTAAGATTTAATTACTAATAATTTATGAACTGTTCTATTTATCTTGTATATTGTAAAGGATTGGGACAGGTATCAAACAAACCCAAATTATGTGAAAAAATATTTATTTAACATAAAATAGAAATTAGCACATATTTACAATGCAATTTTTTTTAATGTAATTTTTCAGAATTTCATAATAACTTTACAATGATAAAAGAATATAAATACATACAAAAGTATGTTTTTTTAATTATTTATGGTTTGCTATTAGATAATAAATCCCCTTAGTTTCTCTTATATGCATATTCTATAGACAATCTATTTTACAAGAAATATCCAGAGATTTTATGTACACAACTCACTTACACTCTGAAAAAAAATTTTAGTTCATGATATTTTAAAAAAAATTAACTAATGAAATTGTAGTTTAAAACAAATAAAATTTTATATATTGATATATAATATTATTGTAGAGTATGATAAAAATGTAATAGATATAATTTTCTAAATAAACACACACCTTGAAAATTTATAAGCAATAATTTCTTAGGATAAAGGGAATATATATTACAAGTTCGCTTTTATAAACTTTTAAATTCTTAGTTAGTATTTTTACCAAAAGAAACAGAAGAAAAAAATAAAGAATAATGATACTATGCTATTAAAAACATTATATAAAATAATTTACTTTACTACAAAATAAAGCATATGTTTTTGAAATTACAAATAAAATAACTTTAATATTTAAATTTATCTAATCAAGTGTTGATAGATACTATATAAAAAAATTAAAAAATTTGACGATCACTGTAAATTTCTTACTAATTGATTAGATAATAATATTTTACCTTTTGTAACAGTTGATGTGCTGATTGGCGTATTAGTTGTCGAAGTGATAGTAGGTGTTAACAATATACTTGAACTTAAAGATATACGAGTAGAAGGAGAACCATTTATTGTAGAAACAGAACTTTTTCCATTATGCAACAATGTTGGCACTGTTCCACTAACTTCTCCATTAGCGGTAGATTTATTATGCCCTATACATAGAAAACAATTATTGAATGAAATTCAATTTATATAATTATTGTGTGAAATGAATTTAAAAATAAATCTATTTTTATACCTGCAGAATTCATTCTTGACTGATTTCCTCCTGTTGTCAAAACATTAATCAATTTTGTATCTCCATTTTTATCGACAATATTAGTATGCCTATAATTACTTGATATCACTTTCGAAAAAGTTTTGTTTGTCGAGACAATAGCTTTCATTTTAGGAACATTCAGATGTGGTATATTTGATATAATTTTAGGAATTTTATTGGACATGACTGATGATTTGGATGTATTAATTGTCTTAATTGTATTATTTTGGTCAATGGATGAACCTAAACGTATTGGCCCAATTGGTGCTAGACTTGCTAAAGAACCAATGTTTAAAGTTATGCCGCCACTTGCTGAGTTAGGAGTTTTCTACGAAAGATAAAATCATATTAATTAAAATTCGACAAAACTGAATACTATTAGAGAATTGTTATTATTACCTGTGCAGGTACTCTAGAAGTTATCAAATGTTCTACAAATTGTGCTTTTGGATTATTAATAACTCGCGATTTGCGTCTTATTGTTGAATTTTGATTAATATGTTGACCAGTCACCGTGACTAGAGTTGGTTGTGTACTAAAAGATCCAGCCCTTGTAACTTGAGCCAAAGATGTACTAGATCCAACTGATGTTGTAGAAGAAACTGGTGTAGTTGGACGAGATATTTTTAAGGTAGGAGAATGTGGTTCGCTCTCAACAGAGCTACTGGTGGAATTTCTTCTTTTACGGTTGTCCTTTTTGTTGTTTTTGTTTTCATAATTAGTTACTGATATAGATCTTAGAGGTAAAGGATTAGGCTGCAAAAGAATGCTTCCCACAAAGTCACCAATTTCTTCTAAAATACACCTATCTACCATACTTTGCGTAATACCCTCTGATATCTTTTTAGTAGTCGATATTCGTAGATAATCATCTGCGGTTCCGATCACTACCAAACTTGTTTCAACTAACATTTTTTCACGAAGATCTTCTAAATCATCAGGTCTTACTAAAGAAGCATTTTGTCCTATAATAAACATAACAGGACAACGAATATCTAATAACGTATCATCGGGTGATCCTCGTTTTCCCTCGACAGTAGAAAAGGGAAAGCCGAGGCAAATTACTGCAGTTACATGTTCCATTTGTGCCACCTATTAATTGTTTAAACAAAATAGTATTTCATTTTGCATATTAATTATTATATATAGTATATTACAAATGAGTTAATAATTTGTATGAAAATAATTATACCTGACAAGCAATAGCTGCTCCAGTATTGAAACCAATAAGAATTATTGGTCTACCAGGGTAGTCACTTCTAATATCCTGTATTTTAGCTCGTGTGGCTTGAATTAGTTGATCAATGCATACCATCATTGTCATTCTGTTAGCTGCTAACCCTATATGCGTATGCACATTAACTACCATTCCTAATGCTCCTAACTGTGTAATCCATTTATGTTGGCGAGAAGAAATAGTAGAGCTAATACCACATGGAGCTATTATTAAAATAGGGTTTCCTGGCAGTTTCTTCTGCAATAAAGCATATTAAATATATAATTATAAAATATTTTCTGTACGATTAAAGTAATATGATATAATATAAATCATAGTATATTTACAAGCCTGCTATTAATTAACACAGGAGCAATTGGATCCCAAGTTCGTTTTAACAGAGAACCAAGAGTTTCCCATGTTACCGAACCATTTTTTCCATTAATATTTGGTTGTACTGTTATCATTTTATCAACAAGTTGAGGAATTTTTAATCTTAATGTTTGTAGGATATCAAGATAAATAGCTAAGTACTCTTGAGAAAGATGATCAAACAATAAACTATGTAACCATTGAGTTAGTCTCCAATCCCAACCAGCAGAGGCTAAAGTTTCTCTAAATCTTCTTGCTGTAGTATTTACTGACGTACGACGAAATAGTGGTTCTGCAATATCATTTGATTTTGCTAATCTTGCAAGTCGCTCAGAGTTCAATATTTTAACGACTTTAGTAAATATTCGACTTTGTAGAGATGACCACATCGTCTTGTCTATTTTTTCTTCCCAGTCGTCATTATCACCCGGTCTTACAAAATTTGCTAATCGTTGAAATTCATCCATAACATGTCGAGTTCTTGTAAAATCTAATGGTGGAACTGCTTGTTCATCATCAATTTTTTCTACATCGACTTCTTCGTCTTGCCTGTGGATCAAATAAGAAATCATTTTGTTTATTTGGAAAAAAATTAATTTAATTAAATATTAAATATTAACTTACATAACACCACCACACACTAAATTAACTTTAGAAAAAAATAATTTTTTTATCGGTTTAACATAAATATTTTCTGGTTTCCAATTCCATGGACGAGCATAAGAGTGGTCCTTGAATATCACATCGACTTCCATTTCATTAATTCCAGCAACTTGATGAAGATACGTTGTAAATTTATTTAAATTATCTTCCATTGTATCTCCCAATAAACTTGGTAGCTCATAGCTACCTAGCGAAGTAGAAGAAACCAATCCAGATGACATTATGACTGTCATGAACAAATAATACAAATGTGAATGTAGTAGACCCTCATAATCTTGAACAATTTCTTCTGATAAATCGTCTCTTACATGAATAGTTCGGTTTAATTTTGCTTTAATTTAAAATCTAAAAACCCAAAATAACAAAATATTAATTATAATACACATTGCAAGCACTTTCATTTTTACAAGATGAATTTCTCTTTCGTTCGATGAACATTATAATTTGATAACATGATAAATAAAATATTAAAAACTAATTAAAGATTGAACATATTTATTGAATAAAAAATATATATAATATTAAAGTCGTGTAAATTCGATTATTACCAAAACTTACATTAGTATATTCACTTACTAAAATAAATTTATTGTTCAATAGATTAACAATGCACCATGATATGTTACGTATTAACTAAAAATTGTTTGATCACTTTAAAATATTTTAGCATAGTAAAAGTAAAAAATTTATGACCTCGATTTTAAAGCACAGCAAAATATCTACTCTGTTGCAATGGCTATTACATTTATGTGCATTTGTGTATATAAAACTAGATTTTAGTTCTTTCTAGATTTTTATTTTTCCCCTATATATTTTCATCTAAATGGTGTTACAATTTAAAATGTATTGGAATATAAAATTAAAACAAAGCTAATGAGATTTTGGATTAAAATTCCATTTTTATTAATTCTTCGTTAAATTGAAATAATTATTATTATAGATTTTCTACTTATTAGTTTTCTAATTGGTTATTAATGCTTTTTCTATTTAGACCAATTAAAAATTGTTATTACAATAATAAGTTCAATAGAAACAATACTTTATATGAACAATTCAACCAATTAAGTGCTGTTTCTGTTACTTAGCAATTGCAAAATGTAATAGAATAATTTCACCGTAGTTGGTATACAACACATTTTATAAGGTTGGCAACTATGGTCGACACTTGTCATAGCGTGCTAATTTCTTATTTTTAAGTATTTAACGCACAACAATGTGCACTATTAATCGTTTTGTATTATTTGTATTAAAATTCTGCTAGCATACGTATTTATTATAAATTATGTTATTTAGAAATAAGAGATGTTAAAGAGATAATTGATATAATCTAATAAAACTGATAGTCTAAGATGCTTCTTGTACGTCTTTTCGGCATTGAATTTTCAGCAGGTTGTTGCTTTGACATCTTGTTACGAATCATTTTGGCATTGTTGTTTCTGTGAGTATATTTAATTATTAAGTATTTTATATACTCTAAATAATTTTGTTTGGAACTTATATGGACTCAAAGTTTTATATGGTATTTTATTAAAATGCTTTTTATTTTAGTATTATAAAAATAAGTTATCTTTATAATAATTCTACTATTATTTAAATTATAGAAAATTAGAACAAGCAGAGCCATTTAATAGAAAAATACACGAAAATGAATTATGGTTATATAAAAATCCACAAACAGATTCCTACGTTCCAACTACAGTATTATGGGTATTCTTTTAATAACTATATCTTACAATAGATTAGTGCATGTATAACATTAAAATGGTACATATTTTGTCATTTTTCAGCCTCTCGTATTCTTGATGCCAGTTGTTGTGATATTATTTTCATTTATAATTAACAAAGACAGAAATGATTTTTCTCAAGCTATGTTATGCGTGACATTAGCTTTGGGATTTAATGGTTTAATAACAGATATTATAAAGCTCATAGTTGGTAAGAGTTAGAGATATTTCTATTGACAATTAATTTATTGTATGATTTTGTTCTTGTACATTAATACATGCAGCAGATAAAAAAAGTATTAGTTGTATATTTTTAACTGATATCTTAACCCTTTGACTGCGGCACACTCAAATTCAGAGCTATCAATATATACGGTGATATTTTTTTTATTTTATTTTTTTATTATATGTCATTAGGACTGGGTGGCGAAATATACACCTTTTATACATATTGATTATTATTTTATACATATTATTAAGCGTATATATACGTCCTTAGCAGTCAAAGAATTAATATATATTTTACTGTCAGGACGACCAAGGCCAGATTTCTTTTGGCGATGTTTTCCTGATGGGCAAATGAATCCTGAATTTAAATGCTCAGGAAATCCCATTATTGTTAGAGATGGAAGAAAATCATTTCCAAGCGGACATTCCTCGTGTATGTATATTGAAATAATTGTACATATATGTAATTAACATAAATGTTACGTATGTCAATGTATTCTATTTTTAGTTGCGTTCGCAAGCTTCGGTTTTGTGGCATTATATTTAGCAGGAAAACTTCACACATTTAGTTTATCAGGCAAAGGTCAATCTTGGAAACTGTGCTCTTTTATTCTTCCTATTTGTATTGCTCTTGCTATTGCGTTAAGTCGTACTTGTGATTATCATCATCATTGGCAAGGTAAATTGATATAAAAAAATATATTACAACAAAGATTAACTTTTTATTATTTTAGATATTGTGGTTGGTGGAATTATAGGATCTTGCTTAACATACCTATGTTATAGACATTATTATCCGCCATTAGATTCTCAAATATGCCATAAACCATATAAAGCGTTAATTATGCAATTGCAATTGGAGAATATAAAAACTAACAAAAATGAACAAATTAAATGGATATAACGTAAAGATTTTAATATTGAGTGTTACCATTTAATGAAAAATAACGATGTATTGAGTAAAATATTTTAATCCTGTGAGTTGTTTACAACCATTTTAAACAAAATAACCTATAAAAATACATCCGACATACAATTTATCAATTTGTCTATTTCGTTATCAATTATCCTCATTCATACAATTAATTACTCTTGCATCCTAATTAAATTGGCATCTTGTAAAGCTCAAAAACTAAATAATCATATTAGTAAATCTTCATATAAAAAACGCGGTAGTAGTGTTTGAAATAAAATATCTCCTTATTTTTCTTTCAGCTATTCGCAGCGAGATGTCGCTAATGTTAGTCATTTTAAAATGACATGTGGCAGCACATCTGTCTCCCTATTCCCTGTTCCCACCCTACTGTTCAGCACCTTCTGGTGCTGTGCACCTCAATAACGTCAGCCATTCGTATACGCTCAGATCTGCCTACGTATGACGTGCTCTCAACTTCTTCGGTAAAAGAAGGATAAAGAAAGGAGGGAGTTACTCTTGTAAAAGCATAAAAAGAGTGTGAGAGAGAGAGAAGGGGAGGAGTGGGAGTGAAGTCGATTGGCGTCGAATCGTATTGTGCGGCCGTTCGCCCTGCCTACGCGACGGCGGCGACTCCAGTAGCGTTTCTCTTTTCTCTCCCTCCCTCTTTATATGATCGTCGTATCAACTCGGAATATCATCGTCGTAGACGGGGTGCTTCTATAAAGCGTGTCGTGACGCGTAGTCCCTTGTGTGTATATATCCTGCTACATGATATTTTTCTTTGGCTTTTAGTGAAATATGTTGTCTTGATTTATCTGTATATGGCGAGAGAACGCGAACGTCGTCGTCGATCGTGTTGAAGAAATTAAAGTAGCAGCAATAACGACTACGAAAACGGCAACGCCAGCGCCGTAGACAACAGTGTCGAATAGCACGACTCGTCTAGCTTGAATTTCTTTTCGATCATTTGTGCTTACACGCTCGTTCGTTCGTTCGTTCGTTCGTCCGTCCATCCGTCCGTTCGTTCCTTCATTCATACGTTCGTTCGACGTTCAGCGTTCGACATTCGACATCTCGTAGCCGCTCCCGCGTGCTTTTCCTCGGATCGATTCCATTCCAAACTCGGGACGACGACGACGTCGCCGATTACGGAGGTGCAACCGGTGCGTAGTGCGTGTAAAACGTGATCTCAACATGGAAACGGATAAGATCATCGACGACGAAAATACAAATGTTCAGGTGCGCAGTGTATCACTATTTTTCACCCGAAACCCACCGCCATCTTATGTTTCCTTGTGACGAAAGAAGCTGAGTGCGTTAGTATATATACACCCCATGTATATACGTATAGTTGTATGGATGACGAAAAAAAGACAGAGAAAAAGATAGGTAGAACGAATGTTGAGTACATATGATAAATATATAAGGGCCGATATGAAATAATGGAAGATGCATTGTCGTTTCCTTTGCGAGTCAAGAGTTTGTATTTATTGCACGTGTTTTTATTCCACGCAACACATGGTATTTTTTCCAACAACGAACGTTGAATTTTAAATAAATCCAAAATGACATGAGTCTAAATGAGGTTAACTAAACAAGGTTTTAAATTTATTTTCGGTTTTCTCTATCTTCCCTTACTCCTCTATGCTTTTATACAGGAACTTATGTCAGAGAAAAAATAGTTTCTGATATAGCATCTCTAGGGGTTGTTTCTTGCGCAGATGTGTCTCGCGTGATTGGTCAAGCTATTTTAATCAAAAATCGAAAAAAAATATTTGATCATTTATTGATATATCCAATCCGTAGTGTTATGTCAATGTGAGAACATTTTTTATGAACTGATACGATCAATAAGCTCTCCCTTTCTGTTAAACTTCATCCTATTGGTCTATTTTATATAACTTCGTTTTCTCTTATATTGTTTATTCTATTATTGTTGGAGTTTTCAAACAGGGAAACCCATTATCCAATATATTCTGTCGTTTATCTCTGACAATCTCTGTGAATCATTCTTTATTAATTATTTTTATTTATTTGTTTTTTTTTTATTGTTAGCAAAACTAACGATACGGTTTCATTCGATACTTTTCTTATCGCATTTATCGATATTGCAAATAAAAATATATACTATTGATTCATTTTCAAATAATTTTATTTAAAACATTTTTCCTCTCTCTCTCCCTAATTTAATTCAATCAATGATTTAAGAAAAACAAAATAGTTCAAAGATTGCACCCTTCAAACTTGTAAAATTGTTCATAAAACTTTGTTTTCTACTTCTTATAATTATTAGTCGTATTTTATTTCGTCATATTGCATAATCGGTGCAATAGTAAATTAATTCATAGGTGTGTGCGCTCACATCTAGGCGGGAATAAACGAATCTCGATATTTTCTTCTAGTAATTAAATTATATTCGTTAGTAATATTTTAATTAATATAGAACAAGAAAATAAAGTTGGATCATATATTATTCAGTAAAATAACATTTACAAAATATATTGTGCATGTAAAACTTAGCAAGTAAAAGCAAAAAACTTTTTCGGGACGATCAAATAATATTTGAAAAAATATTTTGCCACTCAAATGATCAAGTCATATATAAGACTAATTGTAAGTTCACGTTTATCGATTTTTATCAACAATCGATATTACCAATAATATCAATCATTTTGTCGAATCGTGATGTGAATTGACAATACTGTACGAGAATGGATTGAAAAGTTTTGAGCTTATTCTTTTTTTAATGTTTTAAGACTATGTCGAAAAATATAAGTGATTTTGGTCGAAAAAAGAAATTCTTAGACTTACCACGAGCTACTTGAGCTGGATACCACTAGATACCCACCTTCAATTCTGTCAACAACTTGTATTGTCATTTAAATTGCTAAATATTATATAATAACAGATTGAAATTAAAATATATGTATAGTAAAACAAATATAAAGTTCAAAACTTTTCCAACCACCCACGTGTATCTGTCACCGTAGCGCGTGTATCATAATTACAGAGTTTAAAAGGATTTGATGATTGTTTTATCAATAGATAAACGGAAATTATCGGTTAATGCCACTATTTTTCAGCAAAATGACCGATACTGTCAAAATATACCGAAACGTGCGAATTTTAATCTTAGCAATTAATTAACATTCTTTCTCACATTCTTTGTCTATCTCTCATTTGGGTATATTTATTTTACGCTGTGATTTCTCAAATTTACGAACAACTTATATGCATAATCAATGTTTCTTTATACTTCGTCATATTTTCCCTATAAAATCTAATACCATAATTTTTCATCGTCTCTTTTACGTCCTTGTTTTCTTTTTCCTATTCGTGTTATGGACGATTTGTTTGCAAATACATCCGATAATCAATACTATTAAAAGAGGTACTTATAATATCACCCATTAAAGATTATACTTTTGACATTTCTTTGCGTCATTAAAATAAAATTTTTTCTTCGCGATATAATAAATAAGAGAAGAAAAATATTACATTTAAGAAAATTGTTTTTCATACGAGAAAAATATCTAGATAAACTTAATGATTTCGTCATACATAATTCGTTTTAGAAGCAAAAATAAGCGCGCCAATCGTAAGGACCATGCATACATTTGACCAAAGAAATGATTCATTGTTTTGTTAATATGTATAGTTAACCTTGACGAAGCGGAAGTATTTCTCCTTTCGTTTAATTTTTGTTGTAAATTCAAAAAAGGTCTAAGACACTCGTTTTAACTTTGATATAATTCATTTTTTTGATAAAATATTATTACAGTCAAACGTGTTAGAAATCAAATGAAAATACAAAAAATGCAACGAATTGCAATCATTTCAAGATAATAATTGTGATAGTAGGTTATTCCGTAATTGATTCGGTTTATCCAATTATGTCATAATTATGTCTAATTCTCAATTTGTCTGCTCTTTCATATGTACACACGCGCGCGCGTTATATGTGTAATATATAATAACTATATTCCCACTGCGTATATATACATAGATGTATACAGTATTGATAAATGATACAAAATGATAAAAATTACCAAAATTTTCTTATTGATAATGAAAAATCGATAAATTATTGATTAAATATTAATAACATTCTAATCGCGATATTCTTATAGTATTTTATTGTTCAAATTGCATAAATGATTCATCTAACAATAAAGCATAACGGGGGTAAGCAATAAAGGAAATTATCACACATATTGGTTAAGTAGGACATAGAGCTTGTATGGGATATATATGTGATGCATATATGAATGAATGAACGGATGAGTGTGTATGTGTCATGCTCATTGTATATATAATATACATATTGTTTTGTGAGACGGTGCTCTTAAGAATTTTTGTAAAGGTACGCGTGAAGACAAAAGAGCCGGAGGAACGCGTAGATTCGACACGAGTTCGCTGTACCGTTAGGTCGGGAGCACTTGTAGCATTTTCAGGCAATTGAGAACTCTACGCTTGTCTCTTGTCGCTAGACTTCTTCTACTTCTCATCCTCCTCCTCCTCCTTTTTCTTCTCCTTCGTTATAGTATGGTTGAGAATGACTACCCAGCAGCAACAACTCGGGAATAATCAACATGAACGATTTCACACTGAAGAAGAAAAAAATACAAATATTTGTTTGTAAATTTTATTTGTTCAAATTTGTTTGATATCTCTCGACTGACGCAACAAGAACTGCAATTTCAATCCATTATATATGTATATATATATATATATATATTGAAATTATTTTATTTAAAGAATTGTGTCATTTATAGAAAGAGCCAAGGTGGCTGTTTGATCGATATCATTTTCATGCATGATTCCAATGTGCGTTAATTACATTAATACCAATAAATATGAACATTTAATAAAAAAAATAACTTATTTTTATTGATTTAAAAGTATAGTTCTAGTTATGTCATCCTATATGTAGGTGGGTTAAAAAGTTTTGAGCCTAGCATAGAAACAATGATTTTCTTTTCTTGGTCAAACTCACTTTTATTTTTCGACATAGTTTCAAAACTTTCAGAAAAAAAATAGATAAAATTTGTCAACCCATTATCATAAATAGGGATAATAAAGACATTGATCATTGTCCTATCATTAAAAAATTATCATCCAAACCGGTTTTATTAAACTAGTATTTGAAGTTATAGAACATTATTGTATATTGTAATTCGTTTAATATTTAAGCATCACATTGTATTATACAAATTATTGATTTCTTATTAAAGTTATATCAAATTATATAGAACGAATTATGTATGAATATACAGATATATCGAGATAAAGAACGCACTGGTTGGTTGGTGATTTCCATGAAGATATTAAGATATACTACGTTCACCTAGAGTTCTTTTTCATTTAGAGTTTTTTGTCAACTTATTATGGTAACTTTTGATAAGATTAAACTGAAGTATTTGCTTATCATTCGTGAAAAATTTTGTTTTCTTAAACAGATCGAAATCAAAATAAATCGAAAAAAAATAAATTTAGAATTAGGAAGTATTAATTTTGTTGTATATATGGTAATTAGTTTGAGTAATCATACCAAATCAGGTTGCATGCAAAGGAAAGGTGCGAGACGCGGGAAGGTAGGACGATTTTTAAAAGGTCGACGATCCCTCGTGCACTTTCATATACACGACCTGCTGACCTAACGTAATTTCAGATCGATACTTATATTATTTGACGAAACAAATTCTTCTATTTTACATTACATACACAGGGTATCATTTAACTGATGATACTATCGAATAGGAAATATTTTACGTACAAAAATAAGTCGAAAAAACGATTATAAAAATCTAGTTAGTATGCGTGGATTTTTGACAACTTTTGAAATAATGAAATTCCATAAAAGTATTTTCTTGTATTCTATGCCCTCCTTATTCGAGCCGTTTGAAATTGTCTATAAATATTAATAATGATAATTAACACGAATAAAAATAGTCTACAATAAAATTCTTTGGATTGAGATTAAGTCGAGTGTGGACGTATACTGTATAGATTTTTAATCATTTTTTTTCGAGAAACGAAAAGTTTTGAATTAACAAATTTTATTCTATATTTTCAAATTTACTTTATCATGTAGAATAACTCTGTAGTAATTGTAAGTCGTACCACCAATTACATGATACCCTGTATGTGTAAGTTCCAATAAAATTACCTGAAATGTTTTTTATCTTAATACTTACATTAGTCGTTCAATTTGATTACGATTGTGTCAACAAAGTCAATTATCAGACAAATATATATTATTGATTGAAAGTATGTACATTTAATGATTCACATATTTGAATGACACATCGATTCTTTATCGACTAGAGAAAGAAAGAGAAAAAGATAAAAGTTATACTTTTACAATTAGATAAAGAAAGTTGACGAAAGTTGATTCTACTTATTGCTGAGAAAAAGAGTATATATGTATATCATATTTATGTTGTAAGTTAATATGAAACGACGTTATATAGATTCGTAAGGACAAAAGATATTCTTTGTGGAGTGCGCGTGTATGTGCGGTGAAAGTATAGATGAAACGGTCAAATCTCTCAGTGTGCCGTGCTGCGCGAGCTATTCTTTGTGTAACTAAGCCTTTATTTAATTCCTTCTTCTCTCTTTCTCTATGCACATATATTTTTTCAATAATATATAGATTTTATATTTTATAATGTTATATAAATTATGATTTTATATTATAAGTAAAAGAATTGGTGTATTTCTATTATTATTATTTCTATTATTTGATTGTAATCGAAAATTACGTCTCTGGAAATACATAAATAAAACTCATATTTTGAACGAGAGCGAGTTGAGATTAATTTGATTTATTTTATTTAAAATATCCTCATTATCGGGGGTTCTCCGTTATAATAATTATGTATTCGTTTAATAATATTATATCTTAATGGCTAGTAATTTTCCATTTGTTGCTATATTTTATTTTATTATATTAAACATTAGATAGCTTTTTACGATTTAAACGATTTCAATGTCTACACGATACGTATCATTCGAACCTCTCGTTGGATGGTAATATGTGTAAGGTAAAAGACGGTTGTCAAGGCAAACGTGAAATGGCAACGTAAGGTCGCGTAATCAAATCTAAAGCAAACGATGTTACAACTATTAAATCGAGATTTTTACCATCTAAATCATTATGATTTTTAATAAATACTATTTTGGTAATCGATTTACGATTTTACTATGTATGTACGTTAATTTGTTTTCTTATATAATTATACGTGTGACAATGAGATTATAAAAATTTCTCTCCTGACGAATTGAGAAGAGAAGAGAGAGAAGAAATGTTTTTGAAATTATATACGATTCTATCTTTTATATATCATGAGTGTATTTACATTAAGAACAATATTATTTAATTATTAATCTGTGTGTGTGTGTGTGTGTGTGTGGATTATGTATTTTCAAGCAAATTTTTAAATCTATTCTTTATGCATATTTAATTACAGTATCCAATGACGATTCTCTATGATCCAACTCGTAAGAAAGAACCTTCTATTGGTGTGACACCACAGTTTGGACAAGAAAGAGAGATGTGTATGAAAATGTTTGAAAAGTGGAGTGAACCAGAACAAGTGCACTTTGTTGAACAATTATTAGCACGTATGTGTCATTATCAACATGGTCACATTAATGCGTATCTGAAACCAATGCTCCAAAGAGATTTTATTTCTCTTTTGCCAAGTATGTATGATTTTATTTATCCATCTGTTGTACCTAATATTGGTATATATTAGTTGCAATATATATATATATGTATATATATATATATCTATGTAATATATAATTTAACAACTCTAATCAGAAAAAGGATTAGATCATGTGGCAGAGAGTATTCTTTCATATTTGGACGCCGAGTCATTGACAGCTGCAGAGTTAGTTTGCAAAGAATGGCACAGAGTTATCAGCGAAGGAATGCTTTGGAAGAAATTAATTGAACGTAAAGTTAGGACAGATTCAGTATGGAGGGGCCTAGCTGAAAGGAGAGGATGGTGAGTATTTCCTTATTAAGATATTTACGATTTATTAAACACTTTCCAAAGGAATAAAGTATGTGTGTTAATAGTCTATTGCTTTTTATACAATTATGGTATTAATGAATACTTTCCTTTTTCCTTGCATAGGATACAATATCTGTTTAAACCTCGACCAGGAGAGAGTCATCCAAATCACAACTTTTACAGAAATCTTTATCCTAAGATTGTTAAAGATATTGATAGTATAGATAATAATTGGAGAATGGGTAGATTTAATCTTCAAAGAATAAACTGCAGAAGTGAAAATTCAAAAGGCGTTTACTGTCTACAATATGATGACCAAAAAATAGTCTCTGGATTAAGAGATAATACGATCAAAATTTGGGATAGAAATACATTACAATGTATTAAGGTGTTGACTGGTCACACAGGTTCTGTTCTATGTTTACAATATGACGACAAAGCCATAATATCAGGCTCTTCGGATAGTACAGTGAGAGTATGGGATGCAACAACAGGTGAGATGGTTAGTACATTGATACATCATTGCGAAGCTGTACTACATCTCAGATTTAATAATGGTATGATGGTCACTTGTTCTAAGGTTAGTATTAATATTGTTTGCCTTAACATATTTCAAACTATATTATTTTTAATTAGATACGCTTAATATTATAAATATTTATTATTGTATAGGATCGTTCGATAGCAGTTTGGGACATGACATCGCAGAAAGAAATTGCATTGAGAAGAGTACTTGTGGGTCACAGAGCAGCAGTGAATGTAGTTGATTTTGATGAAAAATATATTGTTTCTGCTAGTGGTGATAGGACTATTAAAGTATGGAATACATCTACCTGCGAATTCGTACGAACGTTAAATGGACATAAACGGGGTATAGCGTGTTTGCAGTATAGGGATCGCTTAGTCGTGAGTGGCAGCAGTGACAACACTATTAGATTGTGGGACATTGAATGTGGAGCATGTTTACGTGTTTTAGAAGGTCATGAAGAATTGGTCAGATGTATACGATTTGACAGTAAACATATTGTTAGTGGAGCATATGATGGGTACGTATATATGCTTGTGTTATCATCTCTGCAATAATAATAGATATTAACATTTTTTTCTGTAAATTTAATATATAATAACAGAAAAGATTATTGACCACTCATGATGCTCACATTACGTCTGTCTCGTTTATGTTATAGAAAAATTAAAGTATGGGATTTGGTAGCTGCATTAGATCCGCGTGCACTTGCAAACACTTTATGTCTGCGTACATTAGTGGTAAGGTCTTTATTAAAATTTTATTATTCTGGTATAATTCATTTTGTGTCTTACATAATATTATAATTATATTTATATTTAATATCTATATATATATGTGTATATATATAAATCATATTGAATTTTGTATGAATTTAGGAACATACTGGGCGCGTATTTCGTCTTCAATTTGACGAATTCCAAATAGTATCATCATCGCACGATGACACGATACTAATTTGGGATTTTCTCAATTTTAATCCATCAAATGGATCTGTGTCTACCGGTCAAGTACCAGTCAATGCTTTAGCTGCCAATCAATCTGGTACCAGATCTCCTTCTCGTATGTGTAATTAGATTTGATTTTTATATACAGAGAAGCAAATATATTTTTGTCTCCAAACATTAAGATTTTGTTTTTTTTTTTTTAACAGCATTTGAGTGACTCATCAACAAGAAGATTCCTTTATTGTGATATAATTGTAAGTGTAAATCAATTGATCACATTATAATAGATTTTATAACCATACATACACATATATTATACGTATTCATTTAAGAGATATTATTTTTCTCTTATTCTTTGTTTACCTTATTTATACAATTTAAAGAAGTAATATATCAATATAATAATATAACTTCACAGGTTTTAACGATAAATTTCTTTTGATAATTTTACTTGTTTTTCATAATCTCATTTATTCAAAGAGATCTATGAAATAATAGCATTGTTCTGTTTCAGAAAAGTGGTTAGTGAGTGAATTGAATGTGTTCACGATAGTGTACACAAGACATAAAGAATCAGTGTCCAGTGTGAACAGCGCCTAAATAGGCCTAGACATCCCAAAACTCTTAATCATGGACTTTGGTTTGTTATTTGCAGTGAAACGCAAAAGAAATTCTCTTGAGATAGGAGATATATGTACTGTGACTTATATAAAAATATTAATTAATTTATATGCGCTTAAGGCAAACACACTGCGTTTAGTAATGAACAGTATATTAAAACCATATGAATACATCCCATGGATTTGCCGTCTGCTATGGCCATATCTGGATTTCTTCTACGCTCCATGATACGATAGAAGTTGACCATTTTACTACTATGAAAAAGACTTGAAACACGCAACAAAATGAAAAAGTTTTAGGGAGGCTGGATACACTTAATAAGATATTAGATGTATTATAGTAAATTAATGATTTTTTTATATAATTAATTTATGCTAAGAAAATTGTAAACTGTTATCTGATCAGGATACTTATTTTGTGTGAATGTGAAAATGCAACTTCATAAAATAATTATGACAATTATTATGTTTCATCACTTTCAAAAGGCAGCTAAGGCGAATTGCGATATCATATTAAATAACACTGATATATAACATCAAGAATTAAATGTATAGAAGGATGAGTTTTTTTTTTGTTTATTTTCGGTGTAGATACTATTATTTTGCAATATTCATATTATATTTAAAAAAAAAAAAATGGGTAAAAGTCAACTATTTCCTCGTCGCAACGTGGCAAAATGTTATTTGCATTTAAAATATTACGTTCGATATATATAAACACAAAGAGATGTAAATATTCGTACAGGCAACTGTAGTACCTCTAAAATGATTATAGTTGCTATGAAAAAGTTATTGTAACTTGATTATTGATCTCGGATAGAGCATAATTTTTATGTTGTGTGTTTAAATGTATACTAATGATATTTCTTCGAATTAAATATTGAAGTTATTTTATTGATTTAAAAAGTTTCTCTAAAACAGTATTGCTCTTAAATGAAATTTTAGGGTTACATCCAATATCAAATAGATGATTTTTGTTATAATGATTGATAGAAATACAATATTGCATGTAGACATTTACATATGATCTTATTAAGCCATAAAAAGAAAATTATTTGTTTTCCAGGTTGTGTCATAAAATGTAATAATGTGTAAATTTTGGTACGTAATTTCACATAGCAAAGATGAGATATTTTGATCCTGTTGTAATTTTTATAATGTTCAAAAAAAAAAGAACCCTAAGCTTATTATACGCATATAATTTCTAATATTAATTTAATAACATGACTTTGGATTTTGCATCTTATGTATATATATATATATATATATATACTCATCAAATAATAATGAAGAATATTAAACGGATACATACGATATTTTCTCGAATAATAGCTCTTACCGTGCAAACGTAACAGCATGTAGCCAAATTGGGTACAAAAAATTGTGATGTTAAAGCTAGGAATGATAATATGGGAAAACTTTCTATATATAACACCGTAAGTATATACGGGGATATGTATATACAGGGGTAACAGTGTAAAATTATACTTTTATAAATATTTAATGGATTCCAAATTTTTGTCAGTGTAGGGATATAGAATGAAATTCTTATAAATTCTTAACATATTCTTCGTGTGCACATGCCCAATTATATTACAGTTTTGCTGTCTATGAATGCACATATGTAGATTTTATGAAAAACCATAAACTACTTTTTCCTGCTAACTGGTACAAGTGTATCTTTTACTTAAATTGGGGTCTTAAACCATTAAATGAATAAAGTCATTATAATTAACTAAGCAAATAGAATCCTTTAATAAATTGTTTTCATATGAAATTTATTTAATAATATTATTAAGGACACTTTATATAGAGCCAAATGTTTCTTAGACAATACATAAGACATTGTAGTAGTAATTAAGAGATTCATTTTTTTTTTCTTTTTCTTCTTCTTTTTTCTTTTTAATTTAATTTTCAAAATCATTGCACTTACAGTACTATGGCTTGATTATAACTTATATATTTATAGAAAATGGAAGTAAAGATGTTGAAATATCTATAAGAAAAAACATTGTGATGCTTATTATTAATATTAACATGAAATTTCATGTATGCAAATTTAATTAAGTGGAAATGAAATGAAGGCTGTGCAAAAGCTATATTCAAAATATAATACGTACACAACTGGATGAGACAATTTTAATAAGAAGTAGTTTCCATTATTGTCATCCCTTTGGAAAAGACAAACATAAACATATCAGAGATACATAAATTATAAAAAACATATTAAATATTTAATAGGTATTCAAATATCTTGCCAAATTAATAAAGTCTAAAAGATAAAGGAATACCTAAAAAGGTAAAAAATAACAAAACTAAATATTTAATAAAATATGTTAAATTTCTTTTCTCTCTTCCTAAAAAAAAAAAAGAATTAATAAGATGATAAAATAATATATAGCTTGAATTATTATTATCGATGAGATAATGATATATGTGCACAAGAATATGCAAATGAATAACTGTACATTTAAAGTTACAAAATTATAATATTCGCTAATGATATTTATAATAATATTAATAATCTATACACATTTTTGAGCAAAAATAATTGAAATTTAGCATGCCGTGATAACATGTAATACAGATTAATCTGTATTATTTGTAATTATTCTGTATGCTTAACAAAATTATGAAAACAAAAAAAAACTATTTATGCAATTGTATAAAGTTTATGAGCACTACTACAAATACTGTGCAAAATGGATTGTTTTACATTAGAACTAGTCAACATGCTGCACGGTACAGTTCCTCTCTCTCGTCGATTTTTTTTTAGATAATTATCATTTGTGTTGTTTCATCTTTTTGCCAAGTTTTATGTGTATGTACAATAAACGTTGATTATGAATAGAATAGCTATGCTCCTTAACATGTAAGAATTAACATTTACCTTGCTAAAACTACTTTATTTAAGGATCAAGATAATTATGAGATAGCTATTCATTAAAAAATAAGACACATTAAAAAATAGAAGATATCCTTAAAATGATAAACATATTTTTCTTAGACTACTATATCAGTCATACCGATTTGTACATTATTACTAAGATGTTCATGTAACATATATTTCAATATTATTCATGATATTGTCTGTAACAATCAGAGAATTTTCCGAAAAAAGTATGATACTAATTCAATCTATTAAGACCCCAATCTGACGATACTTCATAAATGTCAAGCTTTACACTTGTTACTTCAGAATCTTATGGAAACAGGTATGTTTTATAATATAAAAAAAACATTTATTTGCATAAAAAAATTATTTATTTTTTTTGTATATATAAATAATATTTTTAATACAATTATACTAAGTCTGATTTTTATTGATCAGTGATATAATCTTTTCATTACCATTGATTGCAATATTTAGTAGCTTGATTGAATAGTTAGAGAAAAATATTATAAAGAGTTATATTTTTTACTTATATATACAGGGTTTCCTGTAACTGGTTGTATAAGCAAGCAGAAGGTGAATCTGCATGAAAAACTACGTTGGAAATTTAGAATTAAATTTATTTATATAAGGCTTTTGTTTTCAAGAACAATAAGTCTGAAAATTTATCAGGTATTCTTTTTTTATATAGCTATCGTTCCATATTTAAACAATGGATTATTTTTCTTTCTATACTACACACGTTTCATAGCATAAGCCTATGTTATTAAGAGACGTTGTTTCATTAGAGAAATGTTTGTTAGATATCTTCGTAATTTTAATGAACAATTACAAAGCTAATAGACAATTTTTCAGAATATTATTCCAATAACAAAATGGCAGAAATGTATTCATTTTATGGGATTGCTTATGAACCCACACTACAGTAACATGACAATTTTACACAAAAAAATATCCCAGTCGGAATATACTTTTTCATATATATTATTCGAGAAATTATATCAACGTTTTAGTAAAATTGTTTATTTGGAATACGTCATTGGGATTCAGGAAGACCTAAGACTGTTTCAATTGCTACTGCGGTAATGTATTCGTAGAGAGAAAGATAATTCAATTGAAACAAGAAATTGTTTATGACTTTGAAAATATTAATTTTCCGATCCATAATTATTAAAGCTTTTTTTATCATTTAGCGAATATCTATCCTAGAAATTATAGATCCTTTTTTATCATTCTGATATATATGTACCAATGCTATTCCTTATTCATTTAAAATCAAATTTTCAAATAAAACATTTAATACTTTATTTTGAAATAAAAAATTATAAAATTAATTTCTTAAATTATATTAATTTAGGTTTGTAAATATACAATATATTATCTTTTTCATACACAATTATATTACATATATTACTACCTCTTAATCACAGAATAGATATATTTTTAATATTTAATTCTTTTTTCATTCATACATTACAGGTTTTTTTTATAAGCATTTATTTAATGAGCTTTGTAATTTAAAATGTACACAAAGAATTGAATCTAATATTGTGATATTCAAATTGATTAGTCTCTCTTTATTGAAATAATCATATTTAAAAATATTTATTCAAAATAATTTTAAAGTAGACCACACCAATATTGTTCAGGTAGTATAATTATTGCAAGTCATATTTTTATTGGTTAATAATATAATTTTTTCATCGTCATTGGTTGCGATACGTAAGTAGTATTGTTAGACAGCGATATATTAAGTAGTTGTATTTTTGACTATTTTTTATTTATGACAAAAGGAATAAAACTACCCAGGGAAAGTATATATAAATAAAATAATGGATTAAAATAAAAATTGAAAAATACATAAACATAAGAATAAAAATATGATGAAAATAAAATGTCTAGTTTTTTCATTAAAAAGTATTTCACTGAGTTAGTCAAAGATGGCGGAAGAGTCCTTCCGAGTCCCACATATTTCTGCTAATCCCGTAACATACTGCGCCGTAGAGGAATCAACGTGCATGTGATCCTGCCTTCATTGTAGATAATGCGAAGCTACGAAAATGGCCGATGAACAGGTGAGTTGCCGATCAAAATAACGTGCGAACTTCAAATTACGAGAAAGTTATCTACGACAAGGCGGCTCCTAAGTCGTGTGTTAAACAGTTGATGGTAAATCCATTGCAACTTGTGCAGTTCTCAATGTGCATAAATAGAACGTGTCTAAAACGCGGTGAAACTATAAGACGATCTTTCGACCTACACAACATTTGTTGCCGAAATCGAAAGTGTTTAACAAATTAATAACTCCGTTATTAATGAAAACATAACGCGTCGAACTTATTCATTTTTTTCATCTTTTTCCTGTGTTATTTTAATTTTAAATATCTCGTATATAAACGATTCATTATCTGGGATGTGTTGAACTCTTTTGTTGAAAGTTCGTGAATAAATATTATTCTTTGTATGAAGAAAATATTCGCATCTACAAAGATAATCGACGAAATGAAATAGATTATTTCATTTATAGTATTCGTATTTGATTATTGTTAAGAGAATTAAAGCGTTTTATTATTTTTCATTTATTTTATACAAATGTGTCATGTAATCTCCATTAAAACGCCATAACCTCTTTAATGCCGGACTTGAATAGTGTGTGAGAACGAGAGAGAGAGAAAGAGAGAGAGAGAGAGCGAGAGAGAGAGAGAGAGAGAGAGAGAGAGAGAGAGACAGAGAGAGAAAGAAAGAAAGAAAGAAAGAGAAAGAGAAAAGAGAGAGAAAGAAAGAGAAAGAAAGAGAAGGAGAAAGAAAGAGAGAGAGAGAGAGAGATCATAGTTTATACATTTATTACGTTCGGTGGTTGTTTAGTTGTTTTACAACTCATTTTTATTATTACTTCTTGTAAATTATACGATAATTTTCTTTTTAAAGTGATTCAAAAAAATTTCTTTATATTTTTAACAGAATATAATCCTATTGTAAGTAGATATATATTTAAGATCTGTCTACAGTTTTAA